TCTTGATTTCTCATTACACCAGGCTTTGAACATACTCTTGCCTTCTCCTAGATTCTAGAACATTCCCACCACCACTTCAGCCTCAATTCCTCAGAGAAACTCATGCCAGCTGCCAGACCAGAATACACTGGGCTTATTTGGGATTATTCACCAACTATCTGCCCCTACCCCCAAAAACCAAACAGTGACATGCTGGTTGGTCATCCCTAGGACACAGCTAAGTGTCTTGCACAGGACAGGCATTCATGATTTGTCTTCCGTAGTCCTCCTATCAGCCGCCCTAAGATCCCTGATAAATATTCTTTCTCTTCAGGGTAGGACTTCCCATTTTTAAATTCTTTGTCCAGGATTAACCACTTTTTTTGATTTGGGGTGTCTTCTGCAGGAGGTAGGGGAGGTATTTCAAGTTCATGGTCTTGACCCAACCAGTGAAGGACAGTGCAGCCTTGCTCCTTGCACCCAGTCGCTGCCGGCCCCCCTCTGCCAGAGCGCACACGGCATGGCTCGCATCAGCAGGGCTGAGCTGGGGAGAAAGGCCAGTTAGTAAGGATCCACACGGAAGGCCTCCAACTTGAATCTTCTTGGCCACGACACAATGGGCAGGAGGCTCCTTCAGAAAAGCAGGGCTCTGGGAAGGAAGACACCAGGCTTGCCAGCGCCCACACCCTCACGTGGAGGAAGACCTAGAAGCGAGTCGGCCGTGGGTCAGAGGTTGGTGGCAAGTAGAGGACTGCTGTGTAAGCAGCCTGCAAACAGCAAAGCACCGAGCAAGTCTGGGAGGAGGATGAGCCACAGCCCAGAGCCCGGGAGACTCAGCCTGGCCCACGTGACCCCAGGGCTGTGCAGCCGGCGTGGGACTCCTGCGGGCCAGGCCCCGCACACCACAGGGGTGCCACGTGCAGCCGGTGTAAACAGGGCAGGCCAAAGACAGAGAGCTGTCAAGAGGCACGAAGGCCAGCCCATTTGGCTCACAAGTAGAAGGTTGTCTGTTGTTTGAGTTTTAGGTGTGTGTTGGGGGGCGGGGGGTAACGACTGTACCTCCCAGAAGAATTTTATCTACCTCAGGTGAACACATAGGTCCCATTATTAGATCCATCATTTTCACCTTCTTCCAAAGCCTCGGGCCCGTGGAATGCACACGTCCCTGCGAGGTAACGTCAGTCACGAATATTCTAACGCAGATGAACGGGCTTTTTGCCCGTTTGTCCTTATGCTTGCTCTAAGGAAGGGACGATCCCTTGGGAATGAAAAAAAGAGATCACACTGAGGGACCCTGAGCTGGTGCAGGTACACACTCCCCTAACATAGCAACAAAGTAAATTAAAAAGCAAAACTCAGCAGCAGCTAGCCCCTGATGCTTTCAAAATAGGGGTTATAACCAAGTAAGTTCTGAAAGCTTCAATATTATCAGTTTATGAACCTGGAAACTGACCACTTCCTTATCCTCTTTCTCCCTGATCTGAGGCACAACTCTGAAGGCTAAAAACAACAGATATGCCTTGGGGTGGACGGGACGAGTGGAGAGGGGCCACTGGACTCATGACGGCCAGGTCTACCCACAGCACCTTTCCACAGTTACTCCTCCAAACAGCCTCCCTGAAGTTGTAGAGAAAAAGTCTACTTAAAAATCGTCCTTTATAAAACATTTAATTATCATACATTATGTCAAACCAAACTACAAAACACACCTCAAAATTCTAAAATAGATGTAAGTAGCAAAATCTAGTAGTAAAGTTCACATCTAGTTACAGACTGAAAACTGAAAAATAATCCCATGTAATCATTCACAGAAAACACTACTCACCTTGTCTCCCATGGTGTTCACTGGGTTCATATAGAAAAAGTAGATTCATTCATGCTGCCGACTCAAACTCTACATTTAGTCACAAACTATCTTTACTCAGTGCTTCTCATCCTGTGCTAAGACCCTTACGTCCATTAGCTCACGGAAGCCTGCATCGACTCCCACCTAGTGGATACTACAGTTATTCCCAGTAAAGGGACGTGCCCAGGACTGGACCCCAATTCTAAAGCTGAAAACCATAGTCACTGCGTCCTGGGGCCTCCACAAACGTTTGCTTGCTCAGACCCACGCCCTGAGGACTCCTCCACTGTTCTACAAAGACCACGTGAGGCCGAGCTACTAAGGATCAGGTCCCAGGCCTGCTACTGGGAAACTTAACACCTCTGAGAGCTACTGAGATGTCACATCAACCCATTTCCAAAAGGGAAGAGGACAGAAGACACAGATTGTGCAAGTTTTACATACTTGTATCTGGTAATTTCTGCCTCTCTTGGAGGCTTGTTTATAACGTTGTATAATGCGGTGTAAGTTGTGAATTTTCATTGTCCATTTATATATTTTATAACTTGTTCAATTATTTATCAACATGTATGTATAAAAACGTCAATAATAAAACTATACTTTAAAAAGCTCTTTCATTCAGACTTCTAAGATGAGCCACATGCATCTCCCTGCCCCAAATCCTGCAGAATCACCTGTAAAGCAGCTTTGCACACACAGATGCCCAGGCCCCAACCCCACTTCCTCCATCCTCCACCAGCGACTTGGCCATTGGTCTACCTCCCCATTTACCAAAGGCACTTTCTTAGCCGCGGTGACCCCCCCGCTCTGGCACGCCGCTCCTCCAGTACCCAGGTGAGCCGGCGAGAGCAAAGGGAAGCCGGCGGAAGGCTCGTGTGCGTCTCGGCGCTGCCCTGCAGCAGGGTTCCCAGCTTCTCCTGTGGAAGGCGGGGGATTCACGACAGGCCAGAGCTGCAAGTCACACACCCCACTAACGCGTCAACAAAAGGACATGCTCTCAAGGTGGGCAACCATGAAAGACGAACTTCTTCCAGCAGAGACTGCGCACGGAAACCTGTGGTATCCGGGGTAGAGGCTCCTGCTATCCGAAAATAGAGAATTTTCTGAAAACTTTCTGTAAGCCGACTTTTTCTCACTGACTGCAAGAAATCACAAGAGGATTTTCGCTCTTAAGAAAAAGCTGTTATGGGGGGCACCTGGGTGGCTCAGTCATTAAGCGTCTGCCTTCGGCTCAGGTCATGGTCCCAGGGTCCTGGGATCGAGCCCCGCATCGGGCTCCCTGCTCCGCGGGAAGCCTGCTTCTCCCTCCCCCACTCCCCCTGCTTGTGTTCCCTCTCTGGCTGTCTGTCAAATAAATAAAATCTTTAAAAAAAAAGAAAGAAAAAGCTGTTATGGTACGACTGTAGGTCTGTCTTTTGTAAAAGCAAAGGCAAATTTCTGGAAAGCAGGGGATACCTGCACCCGGTTATCATGCGTGGGCTTAAATCTGAATGTTTCCGTTGGGAGAAGTGTTTTGTCCTTTGAACAGGATTTAGGTTAAGAAATCGGGAAAAAATTAACGATGACAAATACCTTGCGCTCTCCGAAAGTTAAGCAAGAACACCCCGGTTCTTTCTCTCTTCTCACCTCAAGCAACTGAAACCTGGGACTGTGGGTGTCCATAATGCCAGACACACACACACACACCCGATGGTCCACTTACCTTAGTGAGTCTTGCACAAAAAATACCTAGTGCTTTAGTTTAAATATGTAACAACGGCTAGTACAGGGTGAAAGGCCAGATGACCCAGAAGACGGCTCTCAGTGAATACACTGACAGGGGGACTGCTATGCATTAGGAGGGACAACAAAGAATAAGATAAGCTATTTTCTTAGGTGTTTTCTTACTTTTTCTCCTAAAAATGACTCAATGTGTATTTTCACCCTAGAATATTAAGTCTAGGGAAGGAGATCCAAGAGACCATCTGCTCTACTCTGACACCAAAGGCTTCTCAATGCAGGGCCACCAGATGTCCCAGGGAGCCTTCTAAGAAATCTGAATACGGTCTCAGTATACCAAAGTCGGCGTCCCCCTGCCCCAAGCCTTCGTCTTAAAATTTCAAATCGTCTTCATATATGGCACTAAGGCCAACCTCTGTATCTGGAACAAATCACCTGACTTATTAGTTATGGTCACCACTACAAAAATGGATGTAAAAATGAGTACTGAGCTTGTAGTCTGAGAGTGAACAAAGTAAAGGCCAAAAGGAAATTGGGGGACCTGGAAGAAATTGGGCATTTGCTATCTTGTCTTTGTAGTTTATGCACTTCCCTTATTATAGGACTTATTTTAACAGTAAGTTTAACAACACAGGAGCTGGAAAAGAGGGTACAGTGACAAAGGCAATAGGCATACTGTGGTCCTCCTAGAATGACTGCAGCCATAATGATTTTTTACAGATAGGTCTAACATTCACTAAAATAAGCCTAGGATTTTTGAAGTCTGATACCATACAAAATGTGCCACTTACCTAAGTAAAATGCTCATACCCTAAAAAAAAACTAAAGCAAGTTTTTCTTTCTTATATGTTAAGTCTAACTCTGTGTGGCCACCCTGCATTCGACAGAATCACATTTAACTTTTTAAGTAAGGTTTTTTGCCTTCTTGACAAGCATCTTAATATATATTTACAGATTAGTTTATAAGAAGAGAAGACTTTAGGTCAGACATGAATACACTGTGGCAGGAGTTTCAGACTCTGTACAACAAAGTCCCTGACTCGCCCCCTTACACGGATCTGGAGAAGGAGGTACAAGACGACGTGTATTCCCTCTTCCTTTCCAGCAGGTCAAAGCCTCTCAGAGAAAACCACTGACCCCTCACAGCCATTCTGAACACTACAAACTATTAGCACTTTGAATCAGAGAGAAACTGAATATAGTTAATCACCCATTGAGAGACTCCATCTTAAAAATGAAAATGATCACAATCAAAACCTCCAATCTTTACTTCCTGAGATCTGGGACGCCTACCTAGGTCAACGTAAATACTGTTTTCCTTTTCACACCTTTGACCAAACTTACACTCAATATACCCTACCAGACCATTACCTGGACCAGGTTAATTGCATAGGAATATTTTTACTATGTTTACATTTTTCTTAATTTTAAAAAAGCATAGTAAAGAGTCTGAGGACAAATTATTCAACTGTTTATCATACATAAGACCGCATGACTATGATACAAAGGGGGGTTCTTTTCATTTAACGTTACAATATACACAGCAAGTCCGGACCAGATCTTACAATCTGCACACAGGTATTTAACCTTTTCCATGCTGTTTATGTTTTACAATGCACAGAAGTCCTGTAACCAAACCGTGTAGTAAAGCACACAAAACTGGACTGTAACATAACACAGTATGCAGAAGCATTGGATTTTATGATTTCCTTTATGTAAATAGCGATTTAAAAACTGCTTTGTTTTTTTGGTGCTTGCTAAGATGTGGCAACCAGCACAGAAAAAAATGACCTGACCCATATATCTTCCCCTTATATTCCTAAACAGCAGTAACTACTGATTCCTTTTGATATTGCTATACTCAAGATGATATCCTTTTATTCACTGTAAACCTTTATGAACTACCAAGTTCAAAAATCATCCACAGGCTTGACATTTAATTACAAAATAAATATGGATTTCCTGATTAACAACAAAAAAATTTTGTGGATTATAAAAACGGGTATTTCCAAGTTTCCATTCACATTCACATCGTTTTAAGCCTTTCTTTTGTCACTGTTTACATATAAAAACCTGCTTTTGTTCAGAAAAAATTGACCTAGTCAGCCACATGGAATTGACCAATAAAAAGTAATGTGGTGTTCTGCTGAGTTGTTTTGAACAGGGTTATCGGCAGAGGTAGATTACTGCTTCTTTCCTAGGCTTCTTTTGATCCTGGACAGATAAATTACTTGTCTTCATTCTCCCAATTCAACCGCTCAAAAGTATAACACCCTAAAATTGGTCAATTTAAAATGGGAACACAAATTTAGCAACTGCCAGACTGTGTTACATTAAGGCAGCATAATCTCAGAACTAGGCACCTGTTAAAACACCAGCTTGTCCACTTCAGGTCACGCAGGAGAGTTCTGCTTTACTCGCGCTTGTATTTTGGACCTGTTGGTGCAATCAAGGTCTTGCTTTCAAGTTTACAAGTAGGTTAATCAGGAATACAAGAATCAACTGCTGGTTCCATAGCTTCTGGATCCAGTGTCCCTTTACCTTCAGAAGCCTGAACACATTTAGAATGTAACAGATGGTGTAATCTTGAATTAGATGTCAATCTATTAAGCTCAGTATACAGACTGCTGTAGATGTACTGGCTATGGATTTAACGACAGTTCCAGTTTTGTTTAAGCAATAGTACAGCCATAATTTTCAACTGACATTTAAAAATGGTCTAGTTACACCTTGTGTCAAAGTGCAGAACTGCTACATTATTGGTTACAGACATCTATGTGCTATAAAAACAGCTTTGGTACAATAAATTATCAAAAAAGAAAATAAATTTTTGTAAAATTCACAGCATAATTGTGAGGCAAAAAAGCAGTCACATAAAATTCTGCATTTTTTTTTTTAAAAATGTTCAGGATGAACAGAAGACATCTTTGTGCAGAAGAAATGGTGGAGATACCACGTGCCGAGAAAAAAAGCAAAAAGAAAAAAAAAAGTAAAAAGCAGGAAGGGACACAGCTGTAGCTATTTCCATCAAAGCAAACCACTACTTCTGTGACCTTCAACCAATAAGGAAGTCAACTTTATGACACACGCAAAGTGACCTTGCAATACCTTACAATTAGTGGGTCACAAAAGTCTATTTTAAAAGAAAGGCCTCTTGAATTACCCATTCTCTGTGTTTTCAGCATTAAGGACTGTCTGCAAAAGCATGTCCAAAAGTGATTGCATCTGAAATGGTAGGCTCTTCTAATTTCGAGTCCAAATCCATAAGGCCAAAGGTTATCCCAAAGACCACCACTCAGACCTCCCCAGGACTGGCCACGACTGACCCGTTGATTGCTTCTCAGTGCACCTTGGTTAGGAGACCGGTCATGTTCCATTTACTATCTTACTGTGGCCTCTACAACAGGAGACCCACAGGATCCCATGTAATTGCTGCTTTGCTCCTCAGTAGGTTCAGACAGGAGAGTTCTGATCCCCGCCACTTAGCATGCTTACTGTGCCTTACAAACTCCAATACAACCGTCCCTTCCATACAGCTGAAGGTGATGTTTGTGTAAGCTGGAGGTCCCTCTTCCTTACAGTACTGCATTTCCATGCCCAAGTGTGTTTAGAGGACTTAAAAACCCAAATTTCCCACCCCCCCACCCAAACAAAACAAACAAGAGGGGGGGAAAAAAGGGGAGGAAAAAAACAAAAGGAAAAAAAAAAACCACCCTTAAGGGGCCCTTTATGCAAATTATGTGCAGTGCCTTTTTATTTTAAAATTAGTTGGCAAATGACCAAGACCAACATCTGAACATTAACTTTTGGGGAACAGAAAGACAAAAAAAACCCCACTATGACTGGGGTATGGCAAGTTAAAATGGGGGAGGCAAAAAGAGGACACCTCTGCGCTATCCATGACGATGGGTTTGGACATGGCTCTTTTAAAAACTTCATTGTCCCTTTGCAATCTTTTCAAGTTAAAAAAAAAAAAAAAAGCTTTGCCCTCTTGTAGCGGTTCAGTGTGTTAATCTCCTTCTGATGCAAGCAGCTTTGCACTTTGTTTTTTGGAAAAAAACACCACTTCTATAAAAACACACAAGAAACAAACTCAAGTTTCAATTTAGTCACGAGCTAGCTACAGAACTCTGTTGCACACAAACTCCTGTCATGGGGGACTCTTCTCTATCAGCCCCTTGCCTCATTGTCATATGTCCTTCAGTCATGTAATGTGTAGGACCTGTATTAGCAGAAAATTGGTATGTTGGATGTCCAGCTATGCCAGTCTCTTGGCGGGGATTGGAGTAGACGGTTAAATTAACGTCCATAGCTCCATTCTGTCCAAAGTCCAAGGTATTAGCAGCCACTGGGCGATTCTGGTAGGCCTGATTGCCTTGATTACCAGTAGAGGAGGAAGATGTAGAGGAAGAAGTAGTTGAGGAAGACAGGGATGTCATGGAGTGGTGACTATGGCCAACCTCCATAGAATCCTGGGTAGAGGAGCTATTCGTTGGAGAATTGTAGACCCTTGGCCTGGTCCGGTTACCCAAGGCTTGTTGTCCGTGGTGGTGGTGGTGGTGGTGGTGGTGGTGGTGGTGATGGGAACTGTTTCCATGGTGATGATGCAATGCATTCTGTTGAGGGGCTACATGAAAGGTTGTTTCTTGAACGGGATGAGTTTCAACAGTGACCTGTGTAGGAGCTTCAGTGCCTGACCAACCAAGGGGAGCAGGAAATTGTTGACGCACCTGTTAAGAAGATTTTTAAAGCATTTATTCAGAATACTGTTTCCAAGCTTTAATTCATCTTTAATCAAAGGCTATAACACTAGCATTTACACTAATTAGAGACAGGGGATTTTGAAACTTCTAAAGTGTTAGTTCTGTAATGCAAAATTCCAAAGATATTTGAGTGAAAAAGTACTTTACTGTGAAAGCTGGAATTTCTAGCAAGCTATACCCATAAACAGGCTCATATATTTCACTGACCACGTTCTTTCCTTGGGAGCATTGCTTATGCCACGGATCAGCAAACTTTCAAAATGAATTTACTTTTCCTGTAAAGCCCCTCTTCTCTCCATCTTTCCTGTTTCCGTAAGAACACCCTTTCCATCAGCTGTTCAGCAATTCCTCCATCCAAACCATCAGCAAGTACCACTGAGTCGGCCTTCAAAACAGAGCCCCACCCTGACCTCTTCCCTCTGTGTCCACCACCATCCCTCCCTCCCAGGCTCCTACCATCTATCTCTTGCCTGCATTGGTACAACAGCCCCCTAAATCGGCTCCCAGCTTCCACTCTTGTGCCTTTTTCCAATCCATTCTCCATAGTGAAGAACAATCTTTTTAAAAACACAAATCCAATCACTTTCCTATTTCAAATCCTTTAATGATCTCTCCATGCCCTTAGAAAAACAAAATAATCCAAACTCCATATAGTGGTCTGCCTCATCTGGCCAATGTTCATTTCTCCAAACTTCTCCTCGAGCTATCCTTCCTCTTGCTACCTGGGTTCCAACTGTACCAGCTCTTCCTTCTATTCCTCCACCTGGTAGTCAGTCTCTTTCAAATGTCTCAGGGCATTTGTGTCTATTGTTCCTTCTTGCCTAAAATGCTCAGGCTTCTAATTTCTGCTTGGACGCTTCTTTCTCATTTCAGTTCGAGTCTTCTCTGACCACTCTGGGTAAGGCTGCCCCAACTCCTGTGGCAGAAGCCACTAGCTGTCCACATGGCTGCACCACACTTCCCAGCCTCCCCTGTACTTAGATATGGCCACACGATGAAATTTTAGTCAGTGGAACATGAATGAAAGTTTCCATGTCATGGCCAGACCTGGCCCACAAATACTTCCCACACCCTGCCTAGTGGATACAGCAGACAGGTAGGCCCTAAGGGATGGAGGAGCCCAGGACATGGGAGAGAGCCATGCCACCAACCTGAACACCCACAGAACTGTTCCATAAAAAAAGAAAGAAACTTCTTACTCCTTTAGCTACCATATTGTGGGGGTCTGTTATCAGTTTGGTCTACTTGAATCGTTAACACATCCCACCCAACGAATACTTCTATATATACCTGTATCACATTATCCTGTCCTGTTTCCTTTTTATCAATTAGTGGTATCTGCAATTTCTATTAACTTGATTTTGTTTATTTACTGGCACTATAAGCTCAAAGAAGGCAAAGCCTGTGTCTTTTTTACCAGGAGCCAGCGTAAGTCATTAAGTATTTACTCAACAAAGGTGGTCTAAGAACCAAACTTCAAGAAACACCACTGAAAACAATCCAGTAGAAAAATAGGCAGAAAGTTCTCAGAAAATACTAACGGTTCTTCAACTATGAAAGCTACTCAAATGCACATATAAAAAGAAATAAGCAAAATAAAAATATCCTCTGTCCAATACCACTGGTCATTTCAGACTGATTAAAGGTGATCACACCGACTGTATTCCAAAGTCTTGTTAGTGGAAGGCTATACTGGCAAAATTTTGGAGAGCAGTTCGGCCGCAGCTATAAAAATCACAGATCACATCACTCTCTGACCTGTGATTTCACACCGAGGGGTTTCTATCACAGTTACACTGCATGTGTCTGAGTGATATGTGTATGCCATTCCAGCATCATCTGTAATAGTAAAAAAAGACTACAAGTTAACTAACTGTCCATTAACAGTGGCCTGGGGAAATGACTTATGGATATCTAAACAGCAGAGTACTGTGTGATTATGAAGAAAGAAAAGGAAGAAAAAGTTCTCCATGTACTGATATAGAAAGAGCTCCGTATATATGTTAAAAAATTACATGTAAAACATGCTAAAAAAACCCCAAAAAACAAAAACAAAACACTCAAGATGTGAAAGTGTGCATAGCATGCTATCTGTATACAAAGACTAAGAATATGTATCTGCATGTGGATATGCGTAAAATATTCCAAAAAGGATACAAAAACCAGTAACGCTACTTCAGAAATTGGGCGGCTAGAGGACATGGAAGGGAAGTCTTCACTGAATCCCCTTCTACACTGACTTTCTTTTTTAACGATTTATCATCTGTTCAAAAAATTAAACAAAAAAGGGCATAAGGTAAATAAGGCAAAATAATGACTTCTGTGAAATACAGGTGGGAGGTACACAAGTGTCTCATGTTACTCCTGGCCCATGTTTAAGTGTTTGTGGTATTTCATCCATTTGGACGATAGATAGAAGAAATGTCGGTCATTCTAAGGATTTCGACATTTAAGCGAAGATCTGAAGTATAAATGGTAATGACTGCAGCAAAGAGAGAGGAAAAGTGTTCAGGCTGAGCACAGTACATGTGAGAAACATGAAAGAACATGGTGTCTTCCAAAAAATGGGAAAAAAATCCAGTAAGACTAGAGTAAATAGAGGAGAACAAATGCCCTGAAAAGGGGTCAGACCATGGTGGTCACTGAGACCATAAGAAGTCTAAATTTCCTTTTAAGTACAAAGGAAAACCGAACGCTGTTTAGAGTAGGGAAAGGCCACATCAGACTGCTTTACTGAATGTTCACATGCCTGTGTAGAAGAGAACAGTGTGGACCACTGGATGGAATTAGATGTTGGGGGACCAGTTCGAATATTCTTCATAGTAAGATAGGCTGGAGACGGCTGCAGCAATGGGGTGAAGTAACGAGAATAAAAGCATATTTAGGATACTTAGAATCCACACAATTTACTATTTGATTTAATTGTGGGACGAAGGAAAGAGGAGTCAAAAATTAGCTCCCTAACCCCCAGGTGTAAAACTGGAGCAAATGGGTGAATCTAGGGCCATCTGTATGAAGAACCCACAAGGGTGGGTTCTCAGTTTTACTTCACTCATCAAATAATACACTGGCCTCTCATTATAAAACATTATAATGCAACGCTCAGTATGAATTACCTTTTTTACGAAGAGCAGTTAATAAATATTTTTACTACCAAGATCTGCTTCACCCATTTAAAAAAAAAAATTACTCAATTACAGCCTCTTCTTTAACAAATTTAAAAAACAAAGGAACAAACAAAAAAAGAAAACAAAAACAAAACCCAAACCCAAACCAAACCAACACGGAGGTTAAAATCAAACCACAAACTGACTCGGAATCAAGGACGGTTAGCGATGAACGATCACAGGAAGCAGTCGGAACAAGTAATCAAGATCATGAGCCAGGGCAAGTTATTTAACCCGTCAAGTGACAGTTCCCAATGTAAAATGAAAAGTCAGTGTTAAGGCTCAAAATGCTGCTGTAGTAGAGGAGATAAGCGCAGGGAAAAAAAACAACTGGAGCGGTGGCTGTTTCTAAGTAACGAGAGAGAAAACTGCCCAGGTGTGTTTTAGTTACAAACATGCCGGCACTTCCTAAACATGAGGAAGCCGCCATGGCCCTCTGCAGGGAACGACACAACCGTCGGAAGGCCCTCGCCCCCAGCGCGGCTCTGCCCGGGCACGGCGGGGCAGCTCACCTGGGGGCTGTGGGTCTCACAGTCCATGGCCTGGACGGCAGCCGTGAAGTGCCCGCCGCTGTGCCGGTGCTGGTGCGTCGGGTCTGACCGGGCTCGCCCGCTGTTGCTCGTCCCCGACGATCCACCTGCAGTGTCACACGCAACGCGGAACAGCTTGTGAGGCTGAAGCTAACTTGGCGCAAGTACACATTCTAACACTGCAGCACTGAAACTCAAAGCGCGCCCCCCACAAGAAGCCAGATTAGCCTGGAGGCATATCGGAAAGTGATCCAGTTCTCCAAGTTCTTTCACACCAGCCACTTTGGCTTTGCTTACATCAGGGAAAATTTCAAGCATGTGAACAAAGCAGCTCTATTTAAAAAGCAATTAAAAATTTTGGTTAATGAAGAGTCTTGCCTCCAACTGCCAAGCAGAATTTATTATGCATAATTAAGTAACGGGGCTTTGGGACAGGTGGATTTTTTTCTTTACTAACTACAAAGAACAGATTTAGGCCAAGTAATTCCTCCCTGTCCCATCAACAAGTTTTTAAGATACTTTACAATAACCCCCACTTTGTAAAGGCTTCCAAGCCCAACCGACGGGCAGAAGCACTGACCTGAGCTTGAAGACGTACTGGAGGTGGTGCCCGAAGACTGTGACTGCTCCATCGCGGGGCTGGTGGACACACTGTTACTTGTATTGGTGCCTTCGTCAGCTGTTTTCTTGAAAAAACTGTGCTGCAGGGCATAGTAAGGTTGAATTCGAGTTTTGGGGTCATAATCAAGCATCCTTAAAATGAGGTCTTTGAACTTCAAGTAGTCAGCTACAGTATGACCCGATTCCCCAGCACGACGCCCACCAGGTCCTCCTGTTTCTACTCCGAGAATATTATGAAGTTTACGGGTTCCTGGTGGTTTATACTCCTAAAGAGAAGAAAGATAAAAAGGCTTTCTCTAAATGTGATGGCATATGTAAAATCCTACGTAACTTCAAATACACTTAAGTCTATTATATAGAGGCCCTTTTAAAAAGAATGCTTTATAATTAGATCCTCTGTATTTTCATACATTACTACTGCAAATGCACTGGTAGTTAGAGAAATTCAAAATAATTTTAAAATCAAAAATGACTTTATAAAGATCATGTAGCCCAGGGCTCAGCAAACAATGGCCTGGCCTAGGGGGTGTTCTTGTACAGCCTCAGCCATAAAGGGTTTTTATATTTTTGGAGGTTGTAAAAACAAACAAAACCAAGTAGGATGCAACAGAAGCCCACAAGGCCTACACCTCATACTATCAGGTCCTTTACAGGAAGGAGGTGCACTGACCGCCGCTCCAGCCAACTGGTTCTGAACCTCTCTTCTGCCTGATGCCCCACAACCTTGGGTGCATTCTCTTTCGTAACAGCAGCTCTCCAAAGCTGTGGTAATCGCTCCAAGTAAGCTCCAAGTTAAGACTCACTGGTTTAAACCTACCCACTCATATTTTTTTAAACTTTACTTATTAAAAGTAATCTCTACACCCAATGTGGGGCTTAAACCCAAGATCAAGAGTTGCATGCTCTTCCAACTGAGCCAGCCAGGCGCCCCTTGCTCATATTTAGATAAAGAAATTAAAAGCAAATTATTTAATGCCTCCCTTTAGAATATGCTGAATAATAAATTACCTTAACATGTTGAGATTTTCTGAAAATTCATTTTTTTTTTTAAGATTTTATTTTTTTATTTGACAGAGAGCTAGAGAAAGAGCACAAGTAGGCAGAGCAGCGCAGGCAGAGGGAGAGGGAAAGCAGGCTCCCCTGTTGAGTAAGGAACCCGATGCAGAGCTTGATCCCAGGACCCCGGGATCATGACCTGAGCCGAAGGCAGATGCTTAACCTAATGAGCCACCCAGGCACCCCTGAAAACTCATTTTTAAATAGATGAGATGACAGTATAGGGGCGCCTGGGTGGCTCAGTCGTTAAGCGTCTGCCTTCGGCTCAGGTCATGATCCCAGGGTCCTGGGATCGAGTCCCACATCGGGCGCCCTGCTCGGCGGGAAGCCTGCTTCTCCCTCTCCCCTTCCCCTGCTTGTGTTCACTCTCTCGCTGTGTCTCTATCAAATAAATAAAATCTTTAAAAATAAACAGATGGACAGTATAACCCTTAAAATCCCTATGAATACTGAATTTATTCAGAATAGCATCACTGGATTTTTACTTCCAGTGACAATGTAGAAATCTGCAAGAGGCCATTGCTCTCACTCTAAAAGCAAGAACAAGCCAGGCAGGTAGGCCAGGCCACGAAATCATTCCATTTTAAAAACCCATTAGAGTGCCAAGGACTAAACAAACCAGAATTAACTAAATTCCAGAAAATGAAAAGCCCTTTTTGGGAAAGAAGGGTCGTAAGGTGGGAGAAGAAACAAATGCCAGAGATCCCGGTAAGAATCCAGCCCAGCTCTGAGCCAACCTGTGGCGGTGGGGAAGGCCCCGTGGCTGAGTGAGGGCAGCCAAGACGGTGCCCCCAGGGCACTGCCAGGCTGGGGGCAGAGTGGCAGCATGAACAGAGACTGTGTGAGGCACAAACAGGAGCAGGCCGCTAGCTGGGCAACAATGTAGAGAGAGTGCTCAGGTCTCCACAGATACTGCTTAAAACCTATGAACAGGGACACCTGGGTGGCTCAGATGGTTAGGCGTCTGCCTTCGGCTCGGGTCATGGTCCCGGGGTCCTGGGATCGAGCCCCGCATCGGGCTCCCTGCCCAGCGGGGGGCCTGCTTCTCCCCTTCCCTCTGCTTCTCCCCCTGCTCATATTCTCTCTCTCTCTATCTCTGTATCTTGAATGAATAAATAAAAAAAACTTAAAAAAAAAAAAAAAACCTATGAACACAGTGGAGAACAGAATCTAAGTTGAGCAGACAAATGAAGCAAAGCCCAGCTTCAGCTTAACTACAAAGAAACTGACTCAGGCCCACACTACTGCCTGACAGAACTAGAGGTGGGTCTCTTTCTGGAGGGAAATAAGATTTACTTCCATCTCAAGTGTTCTTAAATACAAAGTCTGGCATACATTTAAAAATTAGACCTAAGAAATTTGAAAAAGATGGGTCCATAATCAAGTGAAAGATTAGTTAGAAGATCCACATAAGTAAATGACCCAGATGCTGAAACAGGCATTATCAATAATTACAACAAATAGGTTAAAGAATTTAGTTCAAAAGGTGGACAACATGTATGACTAGATGGGGGATTTCAGAAGACAAAATGAAAACTATGTAAGAAAATAGAAAAAAAGGGGCGCCTGTGTGGAACAGTCGGTTGAGCATGTGACTGACTTGGTTTTAGCTCAAGTCATGATCTCAGGGTGATGAGACCGAGCCCCATGTTGGGCTCCGCGCTCAGCGTGGAGTCTGCTTAAGATTCTCTCTCCCTCTGCCCCTCTGCCATGCGCTCTCTCAAATAAATAAATCTTAAAAAAAAGAAAAGTGGAAGTGTTAGAACTAAAATATGCAATATCAGAAACAAAGAATTCACTTAATGGTTTTAACATAAGACTGGACTCAGCAGAAGAAAAAAATCAGTGAATCAGAAGACAGAGCAAAGAAATTATCCAAACTAAAACACAAAAGGAACATAGAATGAATAAACTAGTAATGTTGTACACTGTAACATACATCTAAGTGGAGAATTAATAGAAGAAAGAAAGACTGAGCAGAACAAATATTTGAAAAGACAAAGCCTGAGGATATTCAAAAATTGATAAAAGAGATCAACCCACAGACCCAAGAACTCCACAAACTCCAATGAAAACAAATACAAAGAAAACTATACCCAGGGACCTAAAAGCCAACTTATTGAAGAATCGAACATAAAGAGAAAAACATCAAAATCAGCTGGGGGAGAGAGAGAAACATTACATATAGGGAAGGATGCTTAGAAAAACTATTGGCTTCTCTTCAGAAACAACGTAATACAGAAAACAATGTCATTAACATCTTTAAACAATGTCATAATTTTTTTTTTTTTGCTGAAATGTCAACCTAGAATTCTACATCCATGGAAATTTCCATATCTTCCTTAAGAAGGTAAATAAAGATATTTTCAGATAAACAACTGCTGACAGAAATCACCATCAAAAGTTATTCATATAAAATAAAAAAATTAGAGGAAGTTCTGTTCTAAAGGAACATAATACCAGCTGGAAGTCAGAAACTACAGAAAGGAATCAAGAACTGCATAGGTAAATAGAAAAGACTGTCTTATTATCTTTATTCTTTGTGTGTTTTAAAATTTCTTTAAAAGTCATTTTTTATTTAAAGCAGTTGTTTGTTGTGAAGGCTGTAATGTATGCAGAAGTGATTATACGATAAGTGCACAGACAGTGGAGGGTTAGGCAAAAAGCACATGGTTAATTACATGGTTTATCAAGTGATATTAGATGAATGCCAACTGATTACAGTTAAAGATGCATATAACACTAAAAATTACACACAGGGAGGCCTGGGTGGCTCAGTCGGTTAAGCGTCTGCTTTCGGCTCAGGTCATGATCTCGGGGTCCTGGGATCAAGCCCTACATCGGGCTCCTGGCTCAGTAGGGAGTCTGCTTCTCCCTCTGCCTCTCCCCCCACTCATGCTCTCTCTCAAATAAATAAATAAATAAAATATTTAAAAAAAATAAAAAGAATAAAAATTACATACAAAGTAATAGGTCAATAGAGGAGATGAAGTAAAATACCAGAAAGTATTCCATTAACCCAAAAGAAAACAGGAAAGAAGGAATTGGTGGAAAGGAGGTAAGACAAACAGTACAAATAAGGTAACACTTTAAAGCCCAGACTTTAGGGTTTTTAATGAATAATTAAATGGGTTAAAAACTCATCGTGAAAGAAAGAGACTAGCTGACTGGATTAAAAGGCATGACAACTTACGTTGCATACAAGAGTCATACTTCATATATAAAAGTACGGGCAGATTTGAAGTTAAAGGGTAGGAAAAATATAGACTATAAGAATGTGAAGAATAAGAAAGTTGGCACAGATACAGTAATATCAGACAAATCAGACTTAAAAATAAAAACATTACTAAACATAAAGAGGGACATTTCATCATAATGAAAAAGTGAATTTACCACAAAGGCACAACAACACTAAATGGGTACACACCTACTAAGAGAGCTTCAAAACACATAAAACAACTAAAAGGAGATTAAGACAAATCCAAAATTATCACTAAAGATTAACATTCCTCTCTGTCATTGATAAAACAAATAATCCACAGACACACATACACACAAAATAAGGATGCAAAAGATATGGGGAAAAAAAATCAAACAACTCGACCTCTACTGACATTTGTAGACTACAATCGTATAAAATACAATTCCTTGCAAGTGTACACAGAACATTCACCAAGAGAGATTACCTGCTATGTCATTAAAACAAATCTGAATTAATTTTAAAGGAGTGAAATCATGTTTTCTGACCATGAGGCTACTGAATTAGAAATCAGTTAACAGTAAGAGGTCTAGAAAATCCTCAAATATTTTGAAATTATGTAACAACATTCTAAATAATAATGGGTCAATAAAGAAATTACAAGGGAAATGAGAAATGTTTCAAAATCAATGAAAGTTAAAACATATCAAAAGTTGCTCCATGCAGCTAAAGCTGTAATTAGAGGGAAATTTATCTTTAAATGCTGTAAGAAAAAAGTTTTAAATAAATGATCTAAGCTTCCACCTTCAGAAACTAGAAAAAGCAAATTCAACCTAAAGTAAGGAGAGGAAAAGGATTAATAATGAGAAAAGAATCAATGAAATAGAAACAAGATTAAACAACAGTAAAAACAAAACAACTGGTTGTTTGAAAAGATTAGTAAATTTGACAAACCACTAGCAAGAATAATAGGGAAAAAGGGAGAAAACAGAAATGACCAGCATTAGGAAC